GTGATCACAAATTAGCATAAATACTTATACATTTTTATTTAAGACTTAAGTGTTTAAAGAAACGTGTCAAAAACATCAAAGAGAAAACGTCATGATGGGAATGAACACTTATTGTTATAACTGTAATAAAATAGATAGGACTTCTAGGAATCTATGAAACTTTTGACATATAGGTAAAACGAAATGATAATTAATAATCATAATAATGATAATTATGCAGTATAGACTACAGGCGTATGGTTAAAATAAGAAAAAAATAAGAAGGGTATTTTAAAAACAAATCATGGACGAGAATAATCAATTTATATAATTACTATTTAATAGGTATACCTATACAATATTTTAGTGTGTGTATTTATTGTGTTTTAGAGAAATTAGCACGGATGTGGTCATTCGTTGTTACGAGCTGTTAAATGGTCCATTGTAATATCCTTCTTATAACTATCAACGTATAAATCTAAAATTTATGTGATTGCACGCATCATCGTATGGTATAGGTACATACTCGAGTATATAATACGTTTGTATGTATTGTATGTAATGTATTAGGATTTCCTAATTAAACGCTTTCATATCATGCAGTAAATAGGCATCGTATAACACTATAYGATGAAAATTAAATAATACATTGATTAAAATATGTTCAGTGACAGTTATTACTATTTCACTTTTCCCTTACGCGTTATTCGACGAGTGTTAATCCATGCATATTGTACCTTTACTTATGTAGTATATTATATACAGTCAATATGCGCTTTCTTTTATCATATTTCATCGCCGTCAGTCAGTCGCAGGCAATGAACATAAAAAAAAAATCATACACTTCTGTATGCGTATTTTTTTTTTTTATCGATCACAAAAAACATCAACAGCAAAGGCCATTATAGTTACAGAAAGTTAAAAGATATGCATGAATAAGTGTTTATAACAATATTTACAAAGATGAGTTATAAATACTGTATCTTCTTTCGATTAAGCTTTGGATTTATCCAACGATAGGTATCTCTTTTGATTTCATTTAGTTTGATATTTTGCGTATTCCAGATACTTAACCATTTATTTTATGTTTATGCGTTTATGAGATTTTTCGTGTTGTCGAGGCAGCTTTTTCTGTGAACAAGGCGCAGCTGCTGGATTTTTCTGGACAGAAATGAAACCCGGTATTTTTTGCCTAGTTCTCTAAATTAGTTGCTACTGATTGTAGCATGATTTGTATTGTGCTTATACAATTACTTCTGCACCATAAGTTGAAATCATCCGCACAAAGGTTGAATTTAACGGGAAGCACGCAATTTTCAGTAATGTCATTTATGGTAATCAGAAAAAGAGACGAACCTTGCAGAACTCCGTTTTCTTGAATGATCTCTTTAGAAAGGAAATTATGCTCTTACACGGAATGTCCGGTTTTCTAAAAAAATTGTTCAGAAAATCTCTTTTTCCTACAATTTGAGTCGTAAGCTTTGGCTATATCAATAAAAGGTTTATTATGCCCATCATTTGATTGTTGTTAAATGTTTGAGTGATATCTTTTTAATTTTTTTTAAAGCATCCTTTTTGGTTAATAAAGCGTCTTTTATGTTCTGGTTCCATCATGGAACTTTGGGTTTTCGAACTTTAGATTTAGATTTTCCAATAGTTATGTTTCCTGTGTTAATTATATGACTTGCATGTAAGAACTCGGTTGATYAGTTTATATTTAATTTAAGGCTTAAGGTTTTTTATTTTAGCTATTTCTATTTTTTTAAATTCTGTGAAAAGTGGCCATTCGGAGTTTTTTAGGTTCCACCTTTCGACTGCATTAGGAGTGTGTACTCGTATTATACAAGTTATTATAATATATAATATATTAGATGTATATGCGTTTTAAATTCAACGTGTATAACTACAACCAGTAGATAATATAATAATATTAAATTATRTATACTAAAGCTGACGCGCGCACGCGTGGCTCATTYGCGATTTTAGATGAAGGTGCCATATTATTATGTTTTAAATATTAATAATAAATCAATATATTATTATAATGTCGTATTGTACGAGAATAATTGTATAGCGACCAAGCAACGGTGTAGGGAACCAATAATTTATTGATGATAAATAATATAATATTGTTATGCTGTGATATTATTGTAAAGATTAAAAATAACGCGCCRCTAGTACGGTTTTTGATTTGAATCTATAACAATCAATTATTATATTATTATATTATTATTTAAATATATAATTTATTCTACATAATATTATTATGTGGAGTTAGTAAAAAAAGCTTAATAATAATATATTAAATATGTCAAATGTGTAATGCCTGAAAAGTATATAATAAGTATTAATCTAATAATCATGAAACGCAGAAGGACGAAAACGCAATACCACACACACAACATTTAAATTAAGTTGATTGTTTTTGAAAAACATTTTAAAATGGAAAGCTTTCCGGGAACCGCGTGTGATTAGCTGCCTATTTAAACGGTTTCCGGTCAAATCGTATATAGTATAATATATTATATTATATGTATTTCCGTTACCAAAACAAGGTCGAATTTTTATTTGTTTTATTTTATGATGATGATAATATTAAGTCTGATTATATAAATKACTGATTTGTATTTTCGATCTATAAATTACAAATTATATAGTAGGTAGAAACTAGAAATAGCACACTATGTAAGAATTATTAAAATTTTTTTTTCATTTTTTTCACTTGGTGAAAATGGTTCGGGGACGTAGTTTTGAAACATAATAAAAATTATAAAGATACATTCAATTCAATATATTGTAACGGCAAGGGTTCAAGGGAAACGCGTGATTAATTTTTATGACAACCAAAATATATAAAACACTGTTGCCTGTTAATAATAACACATAAATAATAACTCTGCAGAAACACGTGTACCTATATTAATCATACACTAATTAAGAACACGACCACTATAATATAACACCATTAAATATAAATACTACCTTTCTCTCGAACACTAACACAATGTATATAGGTAGGTCCTACATAATATACGTCATATTGTATAACGATGGTGTTTTTCAATTTAAATATTTATCAATTTTATGTTTTTGGTTGATAATATATACGTGCCTTAAGTATTTTAAAATATGTAGGTATATATAAATTATGCGAGAGCACTTACCCGCTTCTCCTCTGCCTTCGCTTCCAGTTTGTCGCATCCATAGAGTAATGTATTTAGAAACTGCAAACACATAAATTGCAACAAAAATTAATAATGCGTATATATATATATATAGATGATATATTATATTATATACATTTCTCGCTTTTAAAATATATTACATGATCCAGAAGTAGTTACGATAAAAAAAAATGCTCACGCTTGTATGTATATATACATATATATGTTTAAAAGAAGAATGCGTAAGGAAGCTGTGTTCTCATGTGTGACCGACTTCCTAATAAAGTAGATAATAGAAAATGAAATCGTGTATAAATGTCCATAACTAGAAATATGGTCTATTTGCTATAGGTATATAATCTCCGTTCACCATCAAAGTTATTGCTTCATATTCGCTAACTGCAGCTTGTATTGTTACCCTGTTCACGACATGAGAGTGAAAGGATCATCAAACTTTCAAATATGTTTTTTAGAATTAAATATGTAGCAAAATGTTTTTTTTTTTAATAAAAAAGTAAATTCAGGGCACAATATAAACATTATAAACTATAAATTTGTAATAGTAAGCCAATAGGTATTATCTAGTGTGTGGTAAAAAAGAAACAACAACAGGAAATTGGTGATAAAATGCTCATGTAAAATACCTGCARGATACCTACTTACTAATGAGTTACTTGGTGCTATAATTTAAAAGTTAATTGACATAGTTCAGATAATGTAATGTAATATTAAAATAAAGGAACGTAAAATACTTCACCATATTATACATACTTGACGATGCAGTGCATCAGCAATATTATGAAATCGAGGTAGCAATCAAAACGAAAAACAATACAGCGTATTTTATATACAGATATATCACTCGAACATGTAATATTATACATTGAGGGTAAAAATAAGAATATTTTTAAATTATTATTTTTATAAACACARCTATGTTATATATTATACTTTAAAGCTAGTAAAGTAGTAAATAGAAAAGCAATAGTTAATATTATTTTAAGCAATTTCAAACCATCAGATGATGTTAATAGATGTTTTATTTTTTATTCGATAGATTTTTATTCTGTGTGGGTGAACGTCAGTGCGTAGGTCCGACTATAAATTTTCGAACGTCCACTACTATATACATACATGGTCATAACACATATTATAATATAATATCGCAGCGGTAAATATTTTCATACATGACATCTCACATRGATGTACCTGTGTATATAGGTGTCATTATATTATATCGTATTTTTTAATTAGTCAATAGATATTTTTACCCATAGCACTCAGTCAAGGACTAGATTGAGAAGAAAAAACTATCACGAGATTAAGCAATCTTTGTGTACACACGTTTAATTGATATCGAGATATTGACAGTTCAATTGCATTTGTATGGATTTTGCCGGTTACGCGTGCAGTCTTAAAATATATATTCTACGGCGTCTCAGTGATAATAATATTATGCAACACAAATAAATATATTCTCAAGATGATTAATAAACACACATAACAATTATGTTCCGAAATTTGTGTAAAAAAAAAAACAACTATTAGAACTGAAATAATTATTAACTTGAAATGTTTTCAACGGATAAATTCCTGTGCATATATACAGTTCGTTGAGAACGGTTTGGAATATATGTATATTATATCTAAAATATACATAACATATGTTTATATCATATTATAAATGTAATAGTGAGAGTTATTTACCATATTGGTTACTATAATGCATTTTAATCCACCTTTTTGTCCTTATTAAACTGATTAACAGAAACGATACATTTTTATAAGCGTAATGTATCAAAATATAAATTGATACATATAATCAAAATACCTGTAATTTGACTTACACGATATGATCGTAGTTCATGAAATGGATATCCATTTCATGAAAAATACGATTACACTAAGTGGATGTGACATATATATATATATATACATGTACAAGGCGATTTCTTAACCATCAAGTAGGTAAGCCTTATATATCTTGGGATATAAGATAGCCGTCTATAGATACGTCAAAGTAAGAATATCTAATAGACAAAAATACATTTTAATTCCTTAAATTTACCAAGAGGCGTTGCATCACCCAATAATCACCMTGCAGCGTGGATAATAGTGTAATATTATATATTATGTACATGGTATATTAAACATACACAGTAGACATCGTACAGTGGTGGATCTACAGGAGAAGGTGTTCAAAAGGTCCTGAATGATGTTAATTTTGTTACGGGTTTGTAAAATATTAAACCCGTAGCTCTGTGTTGGGGAAAATGTTGATAACCCCTCCCCTCCACCAATGAAAAATTCCTAAATATATCAATGATATCGTGCATGCCTACATAGTTATATACATTATTACGATACCTACCGACTACACACACAATATGACGTGCGTATAATGCAACGCTGAACGCACTGTTTATATACGCTCATCACACGTCGCGACGTCCACCGCGGGAAGAGCCCGGAAGCCCATGAAGTAGGTATGCGTACGGATATAATATTATGTAGTTATTTAGGTATATAATTACAGTAATTTGCTCATTGAAAACAATAAATTGCCGCGGAAAGGTGGGATAGATTTCTTCGTCGTGTCTATTAACAGGTATAATATAGGTATACATACCATCGTATATAGGTGTATACCCTATATTGCTAACACGAGCGTGTTTTTACGCCTCCCGGACTGTGTACAAAATCTTGTATATAATATTATTACACACACGTATATATGTACAGCAACATCAGTGGCAGCAAGTCGGTTCCTATATATAATATATAATAATATAATATACCTACACTGGTGTGCAGACGATAAAACCTGATCCGATCGATTACCACTGATAATATATACCGCCGAGTACCGACACGTATATGTACATTTTTTATTATTACTATTATTATTATTGTTATGCGTTATGTATTTTAATTACTATTATTTTATTGTCAGACCAGTGGTGACTAAATTCTGTTTACGTAAATATGTGTAGTTACCCATAATTGACACCAGACGTTGTATAGTTTATATAAAGAGGTATTGTATATACATATTACATACACCATTACTATAAGCATATACAATTGTATAACAATATATAGTAGGCACTCCGTATATTATTTAAAACCCGCATAATATACATCTCCATATAGGTACTTACATTTTGGTATTAGGATATTTTGATACTATAAAAAAAAAATAACTCTAGCTACAACCTACAACTATACTCAGTTATGATAATGACCCAGCAACTAAAACATATATTATGTTTATATACATAAGTTTTTACACTTTAACATCAGCTATACTTAGGAAACTATAATGAGTGTGAACAGATTTTTGAATTAATTTTTGATATACGATTGAACCCCACGCAAATTAATTGTTGTTTTTTTAACCGTTACAAATATGAAATATTATAATATATTACCTATAGTGATACTTTCAAAGTAAATCGTATTCTGTTAAATGACTATACGTAAATATCAAATAATATATAGGTAATCTTATACTTATAACATTTTATATTAATTATTAATTTGCCATTTAAATTTTAAAACGTATCTCAACTATACTTAAGTACAACTGTTATTGTATGTTAAATATTATGAAAGAACGCATCAAAAATGTTAAATATAGGTTTATTACTGCATCTCTTTATAAAATCTTAATTTTTAGATTCTGAGCGGAGCGAGGTATGTATTAATTTTACAATG